ATGTGGAATTTTAAAAAAAAGATAAAATAAATGAACAAGCAGAAAAGAAACAGACTCATAGATACTGAGAATATTTTAATGGTTGCCAAATGGGAGAGGATTTGGGGGAGTGGATGAAAAAAGTGAAGGGATTAAGAACTACAAATTGGTAGTTACAAAATAGTCATGGGGATATAAAATACAGCATAGGAAACATAGCCAATAATAATGTAATAACTGTGTGTGGTGTCAGGTGGGTACTAGATTTATTGGGGTGATCATAAGCTATAGAATGTCTAGTCACTGGGCCATACACCTAAAACTAATATATCAACTGTACTTGAAAAATAAAAAATTATTGAAACTATTTTTTTTAAAAAGACTCACAATTGCCATTACTCTTCTTTCCCTTGATATCTTTACCTATTTATGTACATTGAAAATAAGGATAAAGCATTGTTTTTCATTGTTATTTTAAATATCTCAATTAATTTTTTGATGTTATAGTAATTCTGCCCAATTAATTTGTTGTTTCTACATGATGGCTGGCAGCACGTCTGATTTATCTGCTCAATGAACAATTCACTAAAAAAATAAAAACAAAAAATATCATACCTACTGGTTCATTGATCTTTTAACTAAAAGGTTATTTGAAAATATATTTTTCTATTTTGAAAGGTCTTTACCTTTGTGTATGTGATTGTTGACTCATGTATACTTTGGTTTCTTGGTACAGGCTTCTCCTCTCTCTGGTGATGACAACTACTCTTTAAGACAGCATCACAGCACCCCCCATATTTTTTCATAAATGTTCTGTTTACTTGCAATTTTATCAAGAGGCCTTTTTCTAACTAAACTTTGTAAAGTGATTGGCATGTTATTGTTATATAGTTTAGTTTCAGAAACTCCACCTACCAATTTTGAAATGTTCAGGATCAAAGATTGTCAGTTGAAATACCAAAAAAATAAAATCTAGGATTATGTGAAAACATTTTAGAATATCAATTTTTAAACTAGATTTTTATAAAATTATAAAATTTTCATACTCCTAAGGGGGAAAAGGGGGACTATTCACCCATGTATTTACTCCTTAATATTTGTGGGTTGGGGGAGTCTACTGTGTACCTAGAAGCTATAATTGGATTTGAGGATTTATGAGTTTAGTCATCAGTCAAAGGAAAGTTTCATATTATCAAATAATGACTGTGAAAAGTGATAGATAATAAAGATGTGTAGTGACATTACAAAAATACAAAAAAAAGAAGAAGAATCTGAAAGTGGTAACTCTTTCTAGAAAAATCAGGAAAGATTTCAAGGAGAAAAAAATATCTGAGCTAAGACTTTAAAAGTGTGTACATGACTGTGGAAAAGCCTTAACCTGAAGCTCAAACCCTAGGGATGTCAACTTTTATGCTGTAAATTTTTTTAAGTAAAATTTTAAAAAATAAAGCGAAAAAACTCAAGGCAAAAAAATAAAATGTTTTAATTTTAATATATTTAAATATAGACAAACACAATATATCAGTCATAAATTTTTATGCTCATCACTTTAAAAGAACAGATTATGCTTTTAAATCTTGAATCCATTAACATTTTTGCTAACATAAATAACATGTTTTTGGTATTGTTTGTGTCTGTTTGACAAAGATGAGAATAACATTAATATATCATAAGTCTAGTTTTATTGTAAATGAGATTAGTGATGGGTAAAATTGCTTAATTACTGGCATTGAGCATGAAATATTTTTCCCATTCTACTGAGGCAGTTACCATTAACTATTCTGCCAGGCTTTCAACCATTTTTTTTCCATTGGTTATACTTCTAGAAGTAAAAATAATAGTGAGTCACCATAAAAAAAAAAAAAAAATCTGTCCTTTTCTTATCTTGCTCATTATACTAAAATGAGTTTGCATTTTTTTTTGTAGAAATATGCAACGTCTTTTTTCTATAATGATAATAACAGTGACAAGTTGGGTGGGCAGAATGTGAACTCTTTCTTCCTCCTTAGAAGAAGTGTATATCAATGATAGATTTTTGTAATGAACTTGGCTAATACATGAGCTGATATCAGATTGGTAAAAGCTATGCAAACATCATGATATTGTTATGCAGTCAGGTACGCTTTCTCCTTTATATTCCAAAATTAGAGTACATATATTATCTGTTTTTCCTTCTTTTAATGGATGAATGGGATACATAAACCAAGTCAAACTGTTGATTAAGTAGCTTACTGAAGATTAGGACATATCTAGTGGAGGAGAGTGTTAGTACTAATCCCCCATTTCTGCCTCCTGGTTAATCCACCTGTGACAAAAACTGCATTTTGTCTCTTCCAGCTTTAGCTACATTTGAAATTAATTTTAGGGAACAAATTTCATGAATTGTTTTGTGTGAACTTATATATGGTGTTCTGGCCATAATTCTTTATTATATTTTATTTGATTAATTTTGTGTCTTCCTGAGCATTCTAATGTTTCATCCTTTTATATAACCCTATACTCGATAGATACCAGCAATCAGTAAGACTCAACGTTGGATTTAAAATCCAAACAAAATCCTGCAACATGATGGAAATAAAATCTTGCCATATTTTAAGACAGACTTTGTGTAAATTGCATTAAGCAGGGGGCAGTAAAATTGATGCATTGAAATGACTATATCAAACTAATATAACAATTGTAGTTCTATTTAGCAATAGCACCTAAGTGCTGATGTAGAAATGAGTAACTCTAGACTTGTACTGTTTGTGTTGCGGTATCTCTTACAAGAAAATATATTTGAAGATGATATAAGTATGAAGTGATTTTACTCAAGTAGATACATATTGAGTGTAAAATTTGTGCCATGGAAAATGATAACTTGTAAGAGGTGTCAAAGATACATTTACTTACTCCCAATATTTTGCATTTGTCTTTCTCAACACACAGATTCACAATGCTGACTTTATTCTTTCAGCCTGATGATTAGCTACAAGTATCAGAGTCTAAAATTTATGTGAGTTCCAGGCAGGTCTGGTTTTTTTTTTGAAATGTCAACTTGGTGCTAAATGAGAGTGAGTGAGGGGAACAGTGATTAACTGAGAAGTACATACCCCAACCAAAAAAGTCAGCAGCCATTTCGGAAAGTGAACACAGTGTGCCAGATCTTCAAAGTTTTCATAAACATACAGAAATATTCATTTGTGTGAATGTTAACTAATTCAAAACTTTGAAATTTCACCCTGGCCAGTTTAGCTCAGTGGTTAGTGTTGGCCAGCAGACTGAAGGGTCTTATGTACATGGATTGCAGCTTTGATCCACACCCCAGCCAGGGTAGCTGCAGGCGGAGACAATCTATGTGTCTCTCCAACCTCTCTCTCTCTCTTTCTCTCTCTCTCTCTCTCTCTCTCTCTCTGTTAACAAACTTTGAAAACATTGAGTGGACCAAAGAAGCATGCCCATGGGCCTCTAGGTATAGATGTGATTCTATAGCAAGGATCATGATGCCCTTCAAAATCTTGGTGCTGGTCAGATTCCCATTTACCTTTGCTCTTTCACTTTCTGTAGATGTCTGACTGCTGCTTGGTTAATCATAACTTTAAACCTTATACCGAATACTCGGGGGTGGGGCGGGGGAAGCCACATGGAAGGCCACTAGCAAAAAACCCCCACAATTCAAGTTCTCATGAACTGATTTTAAACTTATTCGTGGTTTAAAAGATTAGAATTTGATAGATTAAAACTATTTAACTCCATGTAAAACGTGAACAAAGCAAAACTTTAGTGTTCCTACTTGAGTAATAGTAATAATGCACCTTTGCTCACTTGACTATTCTCTATTAAGTCAAATTTTTAAATACCAGATTTTAAGATCAGTATGTATTAGTCATGTATATATAAAGACAAAAGTGAACTCTCAACTTCAAACACCTTCAAATACATATGTTCTTGGAGAGTCATCTGTCCCAAGATGTTTAGCAGTATGTCAACTACCTCATTATATCAATCAATCAATCATATACTTGTGTCAGACCACATTCTATAGTAACAGCAGAGCTGGATCGACAAAATTAACAGGAGCTTTAAGCTTACAATTAAGCCAGGGTCACCTGTGCTAACCAAAATCAAAAGTATGCCTATGTGTGAAGAGAGAGAGACGCATCAGCACAATATGGTCTGTTTATATTGTTTAAATTTAATGGTTACATTCTTCAGTTGAACTCTGGGTGTGTCATCTAACTAGATGGCCATCTTGAAGACTGGGTGTCTTTCTGTAACATAAAAATTTGGCTTATAAACAACTAAATATATTTCATTTTCACCAAGGATTTTCATTTTCATTTTCATTTTGAGGTTCATATTTTCCATACTAGTTATAGGAGGCTTTGTTAACATTTGTTGCTTACTATGGATAGGAAGCAGAATAGTGGCTCCCAAAGATATCTATATCCTAACCCCCAGAATTTGTGAAAATGTTAAATTACATGGCAAAGGAGAATTACAGTTTTAGATTAAAGTAGGGCTACTAATCAGTTGACCTTTTGACATGGAGATAATCCTGGATTATTCAGATTGGTCCAATGTAGTTACAAGATCCTTAAAATGGAGGGAGGGGGCGGTCAGAAAAGAGAATCAGAGAGATGTCAGTGTAAGAAACTCTCAGCCTGGTAGAGAAGGGGGCCGTAAACCAAGTAAAATGGGTACCCTCTAGAATTGCAACAGGCCAGGGAATGGATTCTCCCCTAGAGCTATGGGGAAAAATGCATACATTCTGACATCAGCCAACACCCAGTGAGACCCACTCAGGGCTTCGGAATTACAAAACTGTCATATATTAAGTTGGTGTAATTTTAAGCTACTAAGTTTGTAATAGTTTGTTAAGCATTCAAGCAAACTAATACACCAAGAAACTTATTTTTTTATTCCATACGCCTCTGTCACAATGAATGAAAAAAGTTAAAATTTTCAGATTTTTCTTAAGATACTATTTATTCATCCATCCACCTATCCATTCATTCACTCATTTATTCATTTCTTTTCAGGAGGTAATTCGCAGCGGACAGCTTGATATTTTAAGGAGACAGGAAATGGAAAGAAATGAACAGGAAGCTTCCAAAGCACACAAAATGGATGTTCTTGGAACAGAAATGGTAACTACTTAGAAAGACATCACTTTCCAAACAGTTTTCAGACTGTGTGGGAAAATTTGACTTTATTTTAAGCAATTGTTCTTATTGTCCTCTATGTTTTTAATATCAATACATATCAGTGTTTCCCTCTCCATTTTGGAGTTGACATTCTTTGAAAAAATAAAACAAGCACCCAAAAATATGAGTGCACTTTAAGTGTCAATCCATGCATGTTCTGATATAGCATGAGCCCATGCATTAAAATACATGATAGAAATGTTTAATTAGCATCTCTCAATGTGCATCAAGTCTTGGATGAAAATCACTGTGAAATAGTGAATACATGTGCAATACTAAAATCATTAACTTCCTAAGAAACAATAGTTTATTTTAATTTAAGAAACAATAATTTATTTTAAATTATCTTTAAACACAGGCCTCTCATCTTGAAAAGCACACCAAGGAAATAAACCGAGCTTCTCAGTTACATCAATATGTTCAAGAAACAGGTAAGAATCTGGTATTATTTGACCAAATACAGCTTTCTTCTATTCATATGTCTGTGTTTGAACAGAAGATTTCCAAAGCACAGTCCTCTCACTATGTAAAGTTAGTAACTGTAACTCATGATCCCAAAAAGAACAGGGCAGTATTTCTGTATAAAATTAGGTTCTACCTGTGGTGATAGATGCAATAAGCTTCTAAAATAGCTCATTGGCTCTGGCCGGTTTGGCTCAGCGGTTAGAGCGTCGGCCTGTGGTCCGGAGAGACCCGGGTTCGGTTCCTGCTAAGGGCATGTACTTCGGTTGCAGTTTGTCCCCGGCCCTGGTTGGTCGTGAGGGTGGCAGCCACTCGATGTGTCCCTTCACGTCGATGTTTCTGTCTCTCTCTCCATTCCTCTCTCTTCCTTCCACTCTATCTGTACAAAAAAATGGAAAAATATCCTCGGGTGAGGATAAAAAATAATAATAAAATAGCTCATTGCCCATCAACCCTTTGATGTATTCACCCTAAAAGCTAGGTGATAAGCCAACCACCTCTGAATTGCTTTTTGCCCAGGGAACTACAGTAAAACTTGATTGTTTATCAAGCTCCCTGTGAACAGAAATGTTAAATTAGATTGTATTACTTTTAATAACAGATTTAAGCATGTTTAGGTCCACTTCTCTAACCCACATATGTGAGATCGGACTATCAGCAAATCTGTGCATATTTGCATAAAATGTGTACGTGTCTTGCCTATACACGGGGAAGGAGCAGTTTACCTGACCTGAAGAGCTAAAAGGGAAGATATAAGCCAATTGTGACTGAAATGTTTCGTGACTATGTCTGTAATTGGTTATATTTTGTTTTTACTTAAGGAAGTCGGTCTTCCTTTTGTGTTCTACTATTGTTCTTTTCTTATTTTATAACTTTTATTATTTTTTCCCTAGCATACCAGTAAAACATGGTTATAGGAAATTTGGAAAACATATACAATTAAAATAAACAACAGTTTCACCACTTATGACTTCCTACCTAGAGATAACCATCACTATTTCTCTTTGTGTATTTCCTGACATATACTAACTTGCATAATAAAACAGTGCTGTATGTATACATTGAATCTTTTTACTTAACTTATATTGGAAGAAGTTTCCCATGGCATTATAATTTCTTCTCAAACATCATGTTTATTAGTTACATGATATCCTTGATGTTCTTTTCTGTTTGTAGTCATAGATACACCTGAGGATGAAGAAACTCCGAAACTTTCAACTAAGTTTCTAAAAGAGCAATTTGAAAAGTCTGCCCAGGAAAAAGTCCTTTGTTCTGACAAAGAAGTAACCCCAGCCAAGCAGATAAAGGTAAGATAATTTTTCTACACAGAAACATATTAAGTGTAAAATCAGATGTAAATGCATAACATTTTCAAATTATTTAATGTTTGAGATGGTTCTCAACAATAAAATAATATTCTGAACCAGTATTTATTCTGTTCCATAGAAGAATATTATTCTACATGAGAAAAGCAGTAGAGTTAGAAATTTTCTCGCTAGAAAAAATGGAGGGTGGGGGGAAATCATGTATGCTCTAAACTTTAATAACTAACATTAGATAAAATAGTAAAGTCAGGTTTAAATGTCAGATACCCAAACAAAACAAAACAACCATCAAGAATACTTTAAGACTTTTATTGTTTCCTTCTAAATTACTCTGCATAGCACATTAAGGAGGAAAAATAACCAAGATGTCATGTATATGTTAAAATATTGAGTCATTGGTATATTGAATGGGGATTATAACTCTAAATGTGCAAGTGGATTATAGGAAAGGTAGTAACAATCACTAAATATGGCTCCTAAGTAGGTTTCTAAGTGGAGTTTGTCACATGTTATACCTAATGGAGATGTCATAGCAGATGGACAGGAAGTCTCCACCACTCTACTCATTTTTATAAGATTTGATTTTCTCTCCCTTAAAGATTGAAAGTGAATATGAAGAGATTTTAAAGCCACCCTCAATTATGGGTACCTCTTCCACTTCTTGCTCTTCAACCAGCCAGAGGAAAAAAACATCAACCACAAGATATAGTGACCACAGTGCCACTTCCTCATCTCTGGCACAAGTTCATGCTAGTCCTTTGGGAAAGACAGAAGAATTTCCTCCTCCCCCACCTGATATACTTCAAACTCCATTAGATGTGACAGCACTTTCCCAGTCCCCTGAATTGCCCAGCCCTCCTAGAATACCACCAGTCCCCAAAGAACTATATTCCAAGCAAAGAAATTTGTATGAATTAAACCGTTTATATAAACACATCCATCCTGAATTAAGAAAAAACTTAGAAAAAGATTATATCAGTGAGGTTTCTGAGATTGTCTCTAGCCAAGTGAACACAGGGAGTTCAGTTTCAGCAGATGTGCAACAAGCCCGGTACGTTTTTGAAAATACGAATGACAGTTCCCAAAAAGCTCTTAGTTCAGAAAGAGAATACGTGGAGTGGGATGAGATTCTGAAGGGAGAGGTGCAGTCTATAAGATGGATCTTTGAGAATCAGCCTTTAGACTCCATCAACAATGGTTCTCCAGATGAAGATAACATCTCTAAGGGCATTGCTGATCAAGAAATCATTGCTGGTGGTGATGTAAAATATACCACGTGGATGTTTGAAACCCAACCCATAGATACACTGGGGGATCATTCTTCTAAAATTGAAGAAAATGCTGAAAAAATTCCTGAGCTAGCCAGAGGAGATGTCTGCACAGCTCGGTGGATGTTTGAAACACAGCCATTAGACTCAATGAATAAAATGCATCAAAGTCAAGAAGAATCAGTGGTAACTGCCATAACAGACATAACTGGAGGAGATGTCAAGACTGTGAGATACATGTTTGAAACTCAACATCTGGATCAACTTGGGCAGCTTCATTCAGTGGATGAGATTCACCTACTACAACTCAGGTCTGAGCTCAAAGAAATTAAGGGAAATGTTAAGAGAAGTATAAAATGTTTTGAAACTCAACCATTATATGTTATTAGAGATGGTTTAGGTCAAATGCTGGAAATTAAAACTGTTCACAGAGAAGATATTGAAAAGGGCGATGTGAGGACAGCACGTTGGTTGTTTGAAACACAGCTCTTGGATACAATTCACAAGGATATCACAGAAATTAAAGTTGTCAGAGGAATATCCATGGAAGAACATGTCAAAGGTGGAGTAAGTAAGGCAAAGTGGTTATTTGAAACTCAACCTTTGGAGAAAATCAAAGAAGATTCAGAAGAGGTCATCATTGAAAAGGAAACAATAATAGGTACAGATGTCTCCAGAAAGTGCTGGATGTTTGAAACACAGCCATTAGACATTTTAAATGAAGTTTCTGATGCAAATTCTCAAAGATCTGAAGAGAAAATAGGGGGTGATGTACAAACAACTAAGCATCTATTTGAAACACTTCCAATAGAGGCTTTAAAAGATAGTCCTGATGTAGGAAAACTTAAAAAAATCACTGCCTCTGAAGAAGAAAAGGGGGATGTTAGGCGCCAAAAATGGATTTTTGAAACCCAACCTCTGGAAGAGATTAGAGAAGACAAAAAAGAATACATACGAACAGTGAAACTCGAAGAAGTTGACAGAGGAGATGTAAGGAATTACACACATATCTTTGAATCAAACAATTTACTTAAATTTGATGCATCACATAAAATAGAGGTGGAAGGAGTCACAAGAGGTGCTGTTGAGTTAAATAAATCACTCTTTGAAACAACACCACTATATGCCATTCAGGATCACCTTGGAAAATATCATCAGGTAAAAACAGTCCAGCAAGAAGAAATCCTAAGAGGTGATGTAAGAAGCTGTAGGTGGCTTTTTGAAACAAGGCCAATTGACCAGTTTGATGAAAGCATTCATAAATATCAGATAATTAGAGGAATATCTGCTCAAGAAATACAAACTGGAAATGTGAAATCTGCCAAATGGCTGTTTGAAACCCAACCTCTTGATTCAATTAAATATTTTAGTAATATGGAAGAGTTAGAAAGTAAAAACGAGCAAACTACAGATATTGTTAAAGGGGATGTCAAAACCTGTAAATGGCTTTTTGAAACCCAGCCAATGGAATCTCTTTATGAAAAAGTTTCATTAATGACTGGCAGTGAAGAAATTCTTAAGGGAGATGTCAAAGCCTGTACTTGGCTCTTTGAGACGCAGCCACTTGATACCATAAAAGATGACTCTGAAACAACAGTCAAGTTGCAAACTGTGAAACAGGAGGAGATCCAAGGTGGAGATGTTCATACAGCATGTTTTCTCTTTGAGACAGAAAATTTGGACAGCATACAAGGAGAAGAAGGAAGGGAAATTACGGCCGTGCACATGGATATTCAAGCCGGGGATGTCTCCAGCATGCGGCATAAATTTGAAAATCAGCCCTTAGATTCTATAAATTCCAATTCAGAGGAAGTTTTGGAAAAGATCAAAAGCCTAAAGACTGAAGATATTCAGAAAGGAAATGTTTTAAATTGTAGGTGGCTTTTCGAAAACCAACCCATTGACAGGATAAACGAAGGCCAAGGAAATGATGAATTAGTTAAGACAGTGACAGACATACAAGGTGGGGATGTAAGAAAAGGGTGCTTTATCTTTGAGACTTTTTCTTTAGATGAGATTAAAGAAGAATCTGACTATATCAGCACCAAAGAATCGGTTACTGAAGAAGTAGTAAAGGGTGATGTAAAAAGCTACAGAATGCTCTTTGAAACCCAGCCACTCTATGCAATTCGAGACCAAGAAGGGTGTTATCATGAAGTGACAACAGTTAAAAAGGAAGAGGTAATCCACGGAGATGTACGAGGTACCCGGTGGCTTTTTGAAACAAAACCGTTAGACTCAATTAATGAATCAGAAACTGTGTATGTTATTAAATCTGTCACACAAGAAGATATTCAGAAGGGAGAGGTCAGCTCGGTCAGATACAGATTTGAAACGCAGCCACTGGATCAGATTTCCGAAGAATCACATGATATTGTGCCCACTGTAGACCATATTCAAGGTGGGGATGTAAAGACAAGTAAACAATTTTTTGAGTCTGAAAATGTTAATAAGAATGCTTATATAAGAACAGTCAGTGTCAATGAAATACAAAAGGGCAATGTTAAAACATCTACTTGGCTATTTGAAACCCACACCATAGATGAGCTAAGAGGAGAAGGGTCAGACTATGAAAATATCAAAACAGTAACCCAGCAAGATGTGCAGAAAGGTGATGTTAAGCAGGCAGTGTGGCTTTTTGAAAATCAAACATTGGATTCTATTAAAGAAACAGATGAGAGCATCACAAAAATCTCCAAGGAAGAAATCCCTCCTTCTGATGTCAAGACAACTACATGGTTGTTTGAAACTACACCCCTTCATGAATTTAATCAAAATGGAGTAGAAAAGGTGGAAATTATTGGCAAGAGTATTAAAGAAACCTTAGAAGAACTCTACTCTCATAAAGTTATAGAGGCTCCTGGAATCATCATTGAAGCTGACGAGGTTGGGGATGTTCGAATGGCAAAATATAAGCTAATGAATCAAACATCTCCTGAAATACAGAAAGAAGAAATTATTAGAGTTGATCTCAGAAATATAATAGTGAACCTACTTTCCAAAAGAGACTGTACAAAAAGAGAGATTATGGTTAGTGAAGAAGAGAAGGGAAATGTTAATTTGACCAAAACTCAATTATTAAACAGATCAACAGAATGTAATGCTGGAAAAGAAGAGATAGTGAGTGGCGATGTAAAACAAGCAATAAAAAACCTGTTCTCCGAGGAAAGATCTGTAAAGAAAGGCATTTTAATTCAGGAGGATGAAAGAGGAGATATTAACATGACCATCTATTGCCTTCTTCATGAAAACGCTGGTGATACAATTGAGCGTGAAGAAGTAATCGGGGGTGATGTAAAACGTACCATTCATAATTTGCTGTCTTCCATATCAACCAATCAAATATCTGAAAGGGCTAAAATCGATGCCTCTGAGAGGGGAAACGTTCAATTTTTCACAACATGCATAGAAACCGGAGCTTTGGATTATCTCAAACAACTCCAGATGGAGTCAGATGAAACACTAACAGCTAGGACACAAGAAACAGAGGAAGAAATTATTGGTGGTGATGTCGCGGGCACAAAACTGTTGCTGAATCAAAGACAGTCTCAGGTTGAACGTACTGTCAGTGAAACCGATATCATTCCAGGAGACGTGCATAATACCGTCAAGGTTTTCATGACAGAGCCTCAGAACGCATCTTGTAAGACATCCAAAGAAGAAATTATAAAAGGTGATTTGAAATCAACCCTAAATTCCCTCAGCCAGGCCATCAATCAGAAAACAGTGGCTAAAACAGAAGAAATTATAAAAGGTGACATGCTGGCCACACTCCAGTCCCTGCAGGAATCGAGCCACTCTTGGAAAGAATCTAAACAGCCCAATGCCACCCCTAGTGATTTTGAGAAAGCTATTGAATGCCTTGAAAAGAATGCAAAAACGAGGACGGAAATCTTGAAAAAGGAGCTTCTCCTAGATGACCTTGAAGCTTCATTAAGGAATCTGAAAGAAGCACAAGGAGCTTTCAAAGAGGTAGAAAAAAAAGGTATAATCAAAGAAGATGTGCACGCTGCGATGGTAGGATCCTCGCAAGAGCAGAAAACAGAGACTCATCAGATGGCTGTCCAGACAGACAGAAAACATGTTCTTCATCCAAGACCAGGGCCATTTGAGCCAGTAGCCAGGTGGCAAGGGGGAACTCCAGACACTGTCAACCAAATTACAGGCAGATCTTGTCAGGGGAATTTAATAGAAGAAAGAACTGAGATTAATCTTCCAAAAGCCCCTAAGGGCACTGTAAAGATTGTCGTAGATCGTGAACAAAACAATGATGCTCTTGAGAAAAGCCTTAGAAGACTTTCTAATTCAGACCACAAAGCTATTAAAAATGTATTGGAATCAGGGGATACAACAGGTGTCTGGATGGACACAACAGAGCAGCATCTTAGAGATGAACATATGAGCAGACAATTGACTTCAACTGTGTTAGTTAAGGAAAATCTAAAAACGAAGGAATCAGAGGCAGTGAGAGAACAGAGGAAGGATGCTGTCTTGAACTCCACCCGATCTATTGATAAAGCAGTTGGAAAGCAACAGACTCAAACTTGCAAACTGAGGAATGACCACCAGAAGATCGAGTCTTTCCCTGTTACAAGCTTTAAAAATACTAAAAGCACTAAAATGTCAATAGATACACGAAGCTCTAACCCCAGTCCAACCCAGGGTCCAGTCAGCAAGACAGTTGGAGAAACTTGTGAAGTTTCAGGAGACTTTCAGAAGCAAGTTTTATTAAAGCAAGATATGCAATATTGTAATAAAGATATAAAGAAAAAGAATGTGAACCCTCAACCAATGTGGCAGACTTTGCCTGTAGATCAAGACATATCAAATGTAACAGAAGTAAAAGTCTCTCCAAAAAGCTGCAATAAATTTAAGGCAAGTGACAAAAAGCAGAAGACTGATGTTTATCTGAACAGCCAGGACTTTCTAATGAAGACAAATACTTCCACAGACTTAAAAAAGGCAATGGAAATGTCCTTTAATACGATCAACTTGAACCCTGAAAATAATGTAAAAGAAAGTGAGTGCCCTCTTCCACCTCCATCTCCACCTCCTCCTCCGCCTTCCAATGCGTCATCTGAAATAGAATTTCCTCTTCCTCCTCCACCTCCTTTAATGATGTTACCTGAAAAAAATGGTTTTTCTCCCTCACTGTCCACAGAGAAGATAAAGGCTGACTTTGAAAATTTCCCAGGCCTCCCTCTTCCTCCACCACCAGAAGACGAGAGACCTGAAAGAGAAGGTCTGCCGATGTTTGTACCACCTTCCTCGCCTCCAGCTTCATCTCTAAACCCAGCACATCTCCTCTCCTCCTCTAGTCAAGAAAAGCACAATGAAACCTTCGTACAATATTCCCAGGAAGAAGCCTCAAGCTCTCAGCAAACTCATTCTCAGGCTAAAATCGTAACAGGAAAATCAGGGGCACGTCGGCCACCTCCCACATTACCAAAACCCAAACTTCCCAAGCACTTAGAAGACAAACTGTTTCACGGTTCCACAAGAGTTGAACTGAAAAATTCCCTGACAGATATGGAAAGTAAAATCACTCTCTCAAATGATCAGAAACGAGCAATAACATTGACCAGCAGTGAACACACAGAGACAAAGCAGGACATATCTAGCAAAAGTCTTCCTGAAAGAAAACAGTTGTCTATGACCTCTACAAGGTCTCTCTCACAGACAGTTCCAGAAACTTTACCATCCAAGGAAAAACAAGGAAAAACACCTCTCATAAAATCTCATTCATTTCCTGCGGGATCAGGACAACAGAATCCAAAACCTTATATGAGAAAATTTAAGACACCTTTAATGATCGCTGAAGAAAAATACAGAAAACAAAGAGAAGAGCTTGAAAAACAGAAACATGAGAGTTTTTGCTACAACATAGTCAAAACAGAACGCCCAAGTCAGAACCCATCAGAGTTGGAAAAGCAAGTGGGGTTACAAAAAACAAATGAGGAAGTTCTCCTACCTGGAATGGACTCAGGGGTCACTGTGACCCAACCCAGCCCAGACTCACAGAGTCATTCCCAAGCACGAGAAGTGTGTACTGATACACTTTCCACAACACCAGCAGCAACAGTTGCCACCAAGAAGCTCCAACATGTTCTTGAAGCCTCAGAAGACAAAGATATCATGAAAAAGGAGATTTTACAGAGGTCAAGGGACATGATACAATCTAAAACAGCTTGTGACATTACACAGAGTTACCAAAACTATAGCACACAGCAAACACAACAGAAGTATCTGGAGCAGTTGCACTTGCCCCAAAGCAAACCAGCCTCCCCAAGTTTCAAAGTTCAAACCATCAAGCTTCCAGCTCTAGATCATAAATCCAATGGGGCAGACCACAGCCATGACAGCCATAAAAAGCAATCTGAACTTGAGGTTCAAACCATTACCAAACAACAGCACCAGGAAACCAAGAAAACTGAAGCAAGCACTGAATATAGTGATAAGCAATCTGTGGCTGAAAAACATCATCAGTTACCTAAGAAGGAGAAAAGAGTAACCATAAAATTGCCTACGGAGCTCTCAGGGAAAAGCCATGAGAGTAAGCTCACTGTAGTTCATGAGAAGCAAAGAGAATTTAGAGAGTCTGAGAGTGGAAAACTTATAGAAAGTGAAGGAATAATTCAGGGCCCACCGACAATTAGTCCAAAAGAAGAGAGACTAATGCTTGAAAGAAAACAAGACCATTTGAATAAATCAGCACAGAAAGTAGTCAAGCAAAAGGTTACTGGTGCACATTTTGAGTCACAGACTGAGAATTTTCAGCAAACACAAATACAGACTCCTGAAAGTCAAGTTGAACATAAAAAATTGCCCCAGCCATACAGTAATCTTCAGGAAGAAAAATGGCTCGGAGTCAAGGGCATACAACAGAAACAAGTCTTTTCTAATACTCAAGATGCAAAGCAAGAGATTACACAAAACCAATCTTTATTTTCCTCTGTGAAAGAATCCCAGAAGGACAATGGAAAATGTGCTGTAAATATATTGGAATTCTTGAGAAAACGTGAAGAACTACAACAGATTTTGTCTAGGGTAAAACAGTTTGAAGCAGAGGCAGATACAAATGGCCTTAAAACATTTCAGACACTCTTAAATATTATTCCAGTATGGCTACTAAGTGAAGAAAAAAGAAAGTATGGAGTTTCCATTGCTGTGGAGAATAACATAGAAAAAATAAAAGAAGAAATAACGTATATTAAAACTCAAGCAGAGGCTATGCTTGCGTCTTGTGAAAATATAATTCAAACAGCCATGATATCCTCTAATGCAGGAAAGCAGAGAAATAAACCTACTAGTCTTAATGAAACATCATCTAAAGTGTCTAATGTTAATGTCAGCTATAGTCAAAACACTGAACAGGAAGAAAAGACCGTTACAGAAAAAACACAGCACCACCAGGTAGAAACCCATCATGCAGCAGCTACTCATAATCATGTGAAAACCCACCAGGAAATTAAATTGGAGGATAGCAAGATTTCTCCCCCCTCTTTAAAAACACGCGCACCGTCACCAACTTTTATAACCATCGAGTCTACTGCCCGGCGAACAGAAACCTCTACTAAGGATGAACGTTCTCAGTCCCCTAAAACGGACAATTTTGCTGAACTATCGCCAAGAACGCCTGTGTCACAAACATCTAGAATTCGCAGAGCAAACACGTCCCCTTCTCCACCCAGGAGTCGCTCTGAACAACTTGTCAAACTCAAAGACACCACTGCAAAGTTATCCAGAGGGGCCGTCCTGTGCCCGGCAGCAACCCCGGCTCCAGTGGCAGAGAAGCGGTCTGAGATCATCACTTCTCCTGCGAGCCTTCGGCGTCAAATTAAGATAGAAACTCGTGGTAGGGACTCTCCTACAATAACCATACCTATAAGTGTAAATCATGTGGATAGTGGTTCCTTCAGAGAATCCATGGAAGCTCAAGAGGAAGTCAGGAAAGTAGAGAAAAGGGCAACTTACGTTCACAAAGATGGGCTAAATTCCACCAAGAGCATCGTGCCGAATACTGAGAGTTTTGACTCAGTTGAAATCATCCGCAGAGTGGAAGGGCCTGGCCTGTCGGAGCACACGCAGAGATACGAAGCAGCCAACCGGGCTGTTCAAATGGCTGAAAATTTTGTGAATGACCGTGAAAATGAAATAAACAGATGGTTCAAGGAATTTGAGGATGGCCCAGTTTTTGAAGCAAAGTCAGATACAAGAGTTTATGTCAATGGAGAAGCAAACCGTAATATCACACAAGAAAGCCATGCCTTTTGTAAGGAGGAATTCGGATTAACATCTTTAGAAAACACTAGTTTTACAGGCTTTTCTTGCAATCGGCCTGGAGAGCGGCAAGAGGACGTTCCTGCGCAGCAGCCCACGGTGCTCTCTGAAACAAGGTCCCCACGTGAACACTTCTCAAGGGTGGATACATTTGAGAGTCAAGTTGTCGGGTCGAAGACGACAGTGTCTCCATCGCCTAACTCAGAAGTTGGCAAATCTGGCTTTGACTTCAAGCATGCCCCACCGACCTATGAAGATGTCATCGCTGGCCATATTTTAGATATTTCTGATTCACCTGCAGAGCTCAGGAGGAATTTTCAAAAGACATGGCAGGAGAGTGAAAGAGTTTTTAAACGTGTGGGATGTGCCACCTCAGATGCTGCTGCAGCTGAGATGAGAAGAACCTTCCAAGAGGAATCTGCCTTCATAAGTGGTAAATGAGCTCGCAAAACGTGCAGTAAGATTAACCCATTTGAAGGCATGCGTTCCACAGCTAAGATGATTTCCGGCTAAAAGAGTGCGTGGCAGTAACCACACAATGTAACCGAACACTAACAGCTTTCCCTGGTTGCAATGTCCTTCTCTTTGCAATGCTTGCTTTAACCACTTTCTCTTACAAAAGCGTCAGATAGGATTTGTCTGTCCTGTGTGAGAATAACAAATACTATCATGAATATAAATTATTGAGACCTGTGTCAAGGTAAATAAGGATTTGGATAAAGCAACAGATATAACCGTTATTGTGATAATATTAATGATTATATGTAACTATATAGTGATTAATAATTTATACCCATATGACATTTTTAATATTCCTTATTAAAAGTTATTATTTCATCCACTTATTTAAGACAGTATTAGATAATATCCCCTGACCTACTATTGAAGTATTTTTAACTGCCAGACTTAAGTGGTGTTTACGTTTGAGTTCCTCACAGCCTGGTAATAATCCAAGAAGAAATTTGCACTTATATATGCTTTAAAGATTTTTACTGATTGGTATCTCTGACAAAAGTGTAGGTATAGAATTCGACCTTTAAGATATTTAATTATTGCCCTGGCCGGTTTGGCTCAGCGGTTAGAGCGTCGGCCTGCGGTCCTGAGAGACCCGGGTTCGGTTCCCGCTAAGGGCGCGTACCTCGGTTGCAGTTTGTCCCCGGCCCTGGTTGGTCGTGCGGGTGGCAGCCACTCGATGTGTCCCTTCACGTCGATGTTTCTCTCTCTCTCTGTGTTCCTCTCTCTCCCTCCCACTCTACCTGAACAAAAAATGGAAAAATGTCCTCGGGTGAGGATGATAAAAAAAAAAAAAAAAAAAAAAAAGATATTTAATTATTGTTATTGAGTTGAAAGGAGTTAACTTTGTCTAATACTACTGGGTGTTTTTTTGTTTGTTTTTGTTTTATCTGTAACATATTTTTTCTCACCTTTCATAAATCCCAAATGATAGCTCAGTTGACCTCATTCCCAGATGGACATGGACAATACATTTTTTAAAATTTGGTTTTATTTGGAAGGAAGGAGATTTAAAACATAAGAACTTAGAATATTCTTTAAAAATTATTTTAGAGAGAGAGGAAGGGAGAGAGCATGAGAGAGAAACATCAATGAGAGAGAAACATTGATAGGTTGCCTCCCCCACCTGTCCTGACTGGGGATCAAACCTGAAACCTAGGTATGTACCCTGACCAGGAATTGAACCTGCAGCGTTTTGGTGTACAGGGGCGAGGATCTAACCAACTGAGCCACCCCGCCAGGGCAGAACTTAGTACTTTTTTTTTAATATCAGAGAATAACTCATTTATTTATATTTTCCTACATTTTACAATTAATGAAGCTTCACAGTAAAAGGATTTGACATAATTAATGTGCATCATTAGTGTAGTCCATTCTTTTAGACAGATTGAAATAGCAAGCTTAAAAATAAAAATTGCTGAAACTAATAATTATGCCTCTATCATATGTGCAAAATATTATCAAGTTTATCAGTTTATTTAATTTCTTAATGTGCTTGCTTCTGGCATAATTAAGCAAAGTTGTCTAATTAATTTCAAATTCTATTTCTTAGATAGGTAAAAACATATAGAAAATACAAAATAACAACAACAACAAAAACACACAAAAACTGATGTTAAATATAGAAACTAGAACCAAATAAACAGAAGAGAACTCTCAGTAGCCCAAATGGAGTCTCAAAGCAATAAAGTATATATATTTATTTGGATTAAAAACCTTGAGCATATGTGCTTTTATATATAACTAATATGAAAGCTTAGTTATTCTAATTGGATCGTTGTTAGGATCAAAACAATACTGAGGCGAAAATTCTGTGTCAGTTTCGAACTGCTATGCAAACACCAGTTCATCATATAACCGCTGTTATTCGTAGGAGCGCTCATTCATAGGAGAGCGGCAGCACGCGACTGTAGATACTTCAGAGCAAGGGGAGAGGTAGGAGACTAGAAAAGGCAGCCCTGCAAATCCAAAAAGCCCTGAAATCTAAAGCCATTTAGCTTGAATACAAATGACGTGGAACATGTTGAAGTAATCAGCAGTCTTATTGGATTAAAGTTAAGAATTACTGTCACAGAGTCAACGCTAAGCCATCAAGAAAATATGTAAACAAATACAAAGTCCTCAGTCCTCAGCTAAAAGAAAAAGAGAGAGACATGCACATATTTCAGAAAAATCTCTCCAGAATGCTTTAAAAATAAACTTTGGGCCAAATTGGAGGTAAACCTTTACATACATGGAAAGTTTAGTTATCTGAAATGTAAGTGCTCCGAGGGGCTCCCCACTGGCTGAGTTTACTATATATTCTTTTTAATGTATTAAAGTTAACGAACATGTTTTGCTCATGCATGCTCCCTTAAATAATAAAAGTCAACTTGTACAATGTATAAAATAGTAGAGGCACTAGAGTTAGGTTGATGGTACCAGAGTCTCAGGCCAGTGTTAGAATGGCTTATATCCAGAGAGGCAATATCAGGACAATAGTCTTAGAGCTTTTTACTTGAACCGCATGGCCAGTTAATATGCTGCTGTTGTTTGTTTTGCTTTTGCAATGCTATTGAAGATAACTCTAAATGAGCTTTTATAAATTTGTATTTTTAGAAACTGCTACTCCAAGACAAGGAAATATGTATACATTGTCAAAAGATAGTTTATCCAATGGAGTGCCTAACAGCAGACAAGCAGAATTTTCATAAGTCCTGCTTCCGATGTCACCACTGCAACAGTAAACTGAGGTAAATGTTCTGTGGCCTGTGGCACAAATGTTCAGCAGCCTGCAGTGTACTTATAACATCATGGGTCTAGGAAGATGTAGATTTTTTCAGATCTTGCTGCCATCAGTTAACACAACCACAAAAGGGATGCAGTCATGTTCTGTTATGCTTTGCTCAGGATAGCTGTGACCATTTCCCTTTGGAAATTTTGCTTTCCCAGTCAAATCAAGAAGGATTTCTTTTGTGTGACCATGGAGATCACATAGATAAGAAAAAGTGTGGACTTTTTAATGATTGATTCTTCCAATCTATGAACATGTTATATGCTTCCACATTTGTATATCTTCCTCTATTTCTTTTTCCAATGTCCTGTAGTTTTCTGAGAACAGGTCTTTTACTTCCTTGGTTAGGTTTATTCCTAGGTATCTTATTTTTTTTGTTGCAGTGGTAAATGGGATTGCTTTTTTAATTTCCCTTTCTGGGTGTTCATTATTGGTGTATAAGAATGCCATCAATTTCTGGATGTTAATTTTGTATCCTGCTACTTTGCCAAATTCATTTATTAAATCTGGTAGTTTTTTGATGGAGTCTTTAGGTTTTTCTGTGTACAATATCATGTCATCTGCGAATAATGACAGTTTCACTGCCTCCTTTCCAATTTGGATGCCTTTTATTTTTTCTTCCTGTCTGATTGCTGTGGCTAAGACTTCCAGTGCTATGTTAAATAAGAGTGGCAAAAGTGGACATCCCTATCTTGTTCCTGTTCTTAAGGGAAATGCTTTTAGTTTTTGCCCTTTGAGTATGATGGTGGCTGTAAGTTTTTCATATATGGCCTTTATAAAGTCAAGATATGATTCCTCTACTCCCACATTGCTGAGAGTTCTTATCATAAATAGGTGCTGGACTTAAAATGACTATGAGGTATCACTTCACACCTGCCAGAATGGCTGCCATCAACAAATCATCAAACAACAAGTACTGGCGAGGGTGTGGAGAAAAGGGGACTCTAGTACACTGCTGGTAGGAATGCAGACTGGTGCAGCCACTATGGAAAACAATATGATGTTTCCTAAAAAAATTAAAAGTGTGACTTCCATTTGACCTAGTGATCCCACTTCTTGGAATATACCCTAAGAAGTCTGAAACACCAATCAGAAAGAATATATGTACCCCTATGTTCATAGCAGCTCTATTTATAATAGCTAAGATCTGGAAACAGCCCAAGTGCCCATGAGTAGATGAGTGGATAAAAAAAGCTGTGGTACATTTACACAATAGAGTACTATGCAGCTATGGGAAAGAGAACACTTACCCTTTGAGATGATATGGAAGGACCTGGAGAATATTATGCTAAGTGAAATAAGTGAGTCAGAGAAAGACAAGTACCACACGATCTCACTTGTGAGAAGAGATAAACCAAAAACTGTATATACATATATGCATAACCAATGGACACAGACAATAGTGTGAGGAAGGCAGGAGAGGGGTGGGATCGGGGAAGAGGGGGTCAATAGGAGAAAACAGAGGGACATTTGTAATAATTTCAATAATAAACATAATTAAATAAGAAAACTCCCCAAAAAGAAAATAACAACAACAATAAACCTAGAAAAGAAAACAAACACACACACACACACACACACACACACACCAAAAAAAGAAAAATTAAGTGTTACAAGTTACTACTTTAGTCTAAAGTCTAGACTCTAGATTAGGAATCAGCAAACTTTCTGTAAAGGGCCAGATAGTAGATATTTTCAGCTTTCAGGCCATGCTGTTTATGTTGTTACTCAGCTTTCCAGTGCAGTGGAAAAGCAGCCGTGGATAACCAAACGAACAGGTGTGGCTATAAACTAATGGGCCTAGTTGTTCTCCAGTAAAGCTTCATATACAAAAGCAGTTGGTGGGAGTTGGAGTTTACCTATGACTGTGCTATTCCTTCTAAGGGAAAAACATTTAATTTAGAATAATGTCAATGTGAAGTCAGGTAAATACGTATTCTCTGGTGAAACAGAAGACCTTACCAGCACAGTTATAAATGCACTCATCTTCCAAATCTCTTTGAGTAAATGCATTTAAATGAATGTGGTGTTTGGTGTGGCTACAGTCTGAAGTACTGAGATGTAATTGTTTTGTTAAATCCAATGAGCATGTTTCAGACTACGTCTTTCTTGACTTTAATTGACAATGTCAAACACTCCTCGTTGCAACATTCTTTTCCCTTGGTTTCCATGACACCAGAGTATAATGGTTTTCCCCTTACCTCCTGGGTGTTCCTTCTCAGTCTCCTGTGTAGGTTATTCTTTCTTTGTCCATTACCCAGATGTTAGAGTTTCTTAGAATTCTGTTATGGGCATTTATTCTTCTCATTGTTTATATTCTTTCTTGCTTATCATTTTCACGCTCATAACTTTAATCATCATCCATGTGCCAATAACTCTGAAAGCTGTACCACTGCCCAGCACTCTCCTCCATGTATCAGACACTTATATCTAAATGACTGGTATATAGCTCCAATTAGATTTTTCATAAGTTTAACAAATTTAATATGCCCCATTATCTTCTCTCTACAAAATTGTTTCCTTGACTTTATGGTCTGTATGCTACTCTCTCAGTAAATAGCATTAACATTAATTTAATGGCTGAAACATTAAGTTACATCTGACTGGCTCCTTTCTCTCCTTCATTTTCTGCACCCAAGCAATGACCAAGTCCTATCCTTTCTGTCCCATGAATACCTCTTGAGTTGTACACTTTGCTCCATCCCCATGAAGCAGGTATCTTTCAAGCAAGTGCCATCTCTCACCTGTACTAATGCAACAGCCTTTCTAGCTACTTGGTCTCCCTGCCTCCAGTATCTCTCACCAGCATCACCACCACCACCAACCTGCACAGTGCCATGCTCCATGATGTAGTGAGAATGATCTTTCTAAAATGCAAATCTGAGGGTCACTTCCCTGTTTAAAACATAGAATTATTTCCTCTATCAAAAAAATTAACATCTTAATATGAATTAAAAGGCAATTTAGGATCATGCCCCTGCTCCCTCCCAACACCCCTTCCTACCATTGCATGTTACTTTTCAGGAAGACTGAATTTCTTTCAGTTCCACAAAATTATTATTTTTCTCTCTCATGTCTATCTAGTCCCAAATGTTATTTCCACTCTTTGTGGGGGTTTTCAAATGCTCTCCACCAGGCTAACAACACACACTCATTTTTAAATGTCAACTGAGACTTCATGTCTTTGAAAAAGCCTTCCCTGACCCCCATCTATAAAGCAGGTGTCCACAGTGTCCTTCCTCTGTGCTCCTAAATATCCCCTGTGCTTGCTCCATTCTTAACACAATCTAATGTAATTGTCCCCACTGTAGGAAATGTGCTAATGTTTGTCTTGACAACATCTAGTAAAGGCTGATATATAGTAAGAACTCAAAAATATTTATTCAATGACTGATATTTTTTTAAATCATTGTACAAAGAACTACACATACAAAAACAAATCAAACCAAGTATATGGCTCAATAAATCATTATAAAGTAGTCCTGGCCTGGTAGCTCAGTTGGTTAGAGCATTGTCCTGATAAGCCAAGGTTGTAGGTTCGATGTAACAGTCAGGGCACATACAAGAATCCACCAAAGAATGCATAAGTGGAAAAACAAATCAAATTCTCTGTCTCTCTCTCTCTCTCTCATCTCTCTTACTCCCTAAAAAATAAAAAACTTAAAAAATTTTTTTATAAGTGAACATGTAGCCACTACTACAGTCAAGAAATATAACACTGTCAGTCACTGCAGAAAGTCCAGGGTTCCCCACCCAAACAGAACCTGCTCTCTCTGTCCTGTGAGTAAATAGTACCCTTTTCAATAATTACTTCCTTGCATTTTTATAGTTTTCATCCAGATGTGTTTTCTTAGATATTATACTTTAGCTTTTTTCCATTTTGTAAAAAATTTCATAAGGCTTTTAAGTTTTTTTTTAAGTTATAGGTTTTCCATTCATTTTATTCCTATAATTTATTTGTGTAGAACCCAGGACATTTGATCTGTTGTTTTCCACAGTCTAGATTTGCTAATTGCATATACACAGTGAGGTTCACATACTCCTTTCTCCTCTGTACTTCTGGCAAATTGTCACCCGAGTCTAGATTTTGGTTGTTGCAGACTAAGGCTTGGTGCCTTCCAAAGAGCAAGGGAGTATTGGCAAGAGTACAGTAAGCACATATGTCTGCTTGTGTCTCATTTTGTGATCCTAGCAGAAGTTGAAGCTTAATACCTATATCTATTCGTTGGTATTTGTCAAATGTTGATATTCTATTTTTGTTCTTTCTTTTTCATTAATTAGAATAGTTTTACAGGAGATGCTTTCCCTCATTTATTATTGGTTGACATGGTGTCAAGTGGGAGGAGGAAAGGCAGGATAAGTGTATAATTTTTTTCTTTTATTTCCCAGTTTTGCCAGTTTGTCAATTATTGATTTAACAATATAAATGAACTGGCCCCTTATCATCCCCTACAGGTAACCAGTTTTAAAATGTTTTTAATTCTATTATGAATTCATATTTACACATACTTGATTGGTTTCAATCAGATGCAATTATTATCATTGCTGATGCTCAAGTTATTCTATCCCTGGGGAGTGGAAGCCCCTTTCAGTTGTCTTCTCAGTCTTTTTTACCAAACCCTAGTAGTCTTTGCTAGTCTCCCTATTATCTGATAGGACTAGTTCCGTCCTGTACATTTACTGCCCCAGGACTGGAATCAGTCACATCTCCAAGCCCTGGTTTGTTTGGATTTTTAGTGAGAGATGGCATCAAGACAATAATCTTGATGGTTATTCTACTGGGTCGGTCATTATTTCTAAACATTTTTGATGTTAAGAGCTAGTACAGTGATTTCTGATTGGTGTGCTGCAAGAATTTTTAAAACATAAAATAACTGACTTTTTTTTTTGGTACATGCCCCTAGCGGGAACCAAACCCGGGACTCTAGTCCGCAGGCCGATGCTCCAACCGCTGAGCCAAACCGGCCAGGGCCAATACCTGACTATTTAGTCAAGGACACTGATCTCTTTTCCCTTCAATTGTCACATTTTAAAAAATGACACCAGCCAACACTGCAATAGCTGTCCAGTGAGTGAATGCCCTTCTTGAACCATATATATGTGGGTTATCTAATAGAGTTGTATCTTATTGGTCACATCACATAATAAGTTTGTGTCTGATTGAGCAATTATTGGTACCAGAAATCCTTATATACAAGGACAGGCACCTCATTTTTTAAAAAGTAATTTGGGAGCAAAAAGGATAGGTAATTACTATTATTACTTTTTCTGTAAATCAATCAAAATTATACCTATTTTTTTATCAGATCAGCAAAAAAATATATTTTCTGGTGTGCTGCAAAATTTTAGTAATTAGTTTATGTGTCTCATGAGATGAAAAAAGTTGAAAATTGCTGAGCTACTAAATACCATAACAAAATGTATTATGATTTTGTAGTGATATTTCTAAATTGAATTCAAAACTGCATTGCTTTTGCTTAGTTGCTTCTCTATGACATCTATATCTTTTTCTTCCACTTCATGACTTCTGGTTCTCAAAGACAAAGGACATAACAGAATTAGAATATCCCATATCCATTTGGACAATAGTTTTGAAATCAAAAAACTATCAGCACCACTAATTTAATTATTGAAACATTAAAAAATGGATTTGTTCCCCGGTCACTCACATCTCGTTTTAGAAAACTGTTGTACTATATCTTCAGTGTCATATCACAGCCATTATATATCATATTATTTCCCTCTTTGCCCTTCCTTCTTCTTAGTTTATAGGTAACAATATATTAAATCTATTGTCAGTCCTCATGTTGATGTTTCTGTAGCCATTCTGGTTGTTCAAGATTATTTTTTGTAGATTCCTCAGAAAAGGAAATCTTAAGTTATTTTTTATATCTGGAATGTAAGGCCCTTTTTAATTAAAGTATAGTGGACATACAATATTATATTCATTTCAGATGTACAACACAGTGATTTCACACTTACATACCTTACAAAGTGACCACCTGAAGTCTAGTGACCATCTATCACCATACAGTTATTGCGATATTGACTGTATTCCCTATGCGGTACATTACATACCTGTGACTTATTTATAAGTTTTTATATCCTAATAACAAATTGTCTGTGATCTTTACAAGTGAAAGTCAGTTTTGCTGAAAGTAAAATTCTTGGTTTACACTTTGTTTCATTGAGTATCTTAAATGCATTATTCTCTTTTCTTCTGGCATAACATATTGGAAATATCTCATAAAACTCTAATTTCTTTTCTTTATAAGTCATATGCTCTTTTTTTTTTTTAGATACACAAAAAATTTCTTTCCTTTTTATTTAAAAGTCCAGTCATTTTTACTAGAATAGTTCCTGGCATTGGTCACTCTGGGTTAGTAGTGTCTATTACCCAGTGTGCATTTTCAGTTTGTAGTTTCATACCTTTTCATATCTGGAAAGTTTCCTTAAATTATAGCCTTTTTGTATCTAACCTGTTTATTGCCTTGTTTCTTCTTCCAGAACTGCTGTTATCTATACATGAATACTTTGTGTCTGTCTACATTTGTCTCTCTCACCTCCTTATCTATTTTTTCACTCCTGATTTTAATTTTTTAGCTTTATTCTCCTATTTCTCTTCTTCAAACACTTTCTACTATGTTTATTTGTTCTTATAGTTCTTTAGTTTTTATTTCTGACACTTTTTTCTCTTTTATTTCTATTTTTTCTGATTCCTGATATCTCATTAATGACTTTTCCTAATTACAAGTCACTGTGTTCTTTCAGGTCTTTTATCATCTTCTCAATGTCCTCTGGCTCATTTTGAAATAGTAGATTAAAATTTTCATGCTTTGAGAACATGTTTTTCTAGCAAGGATATTTTTATGTTCCTACTCTTTTACTTTTTATAACGTTGTGTAATATTTGGCTTTGATTCTTTTCTGTTGCTCATTTGTATGTGGAGTTAGATTTCCTAGATCTTCGAAGGAGGCAAATTCAGGATGGTTGTTTCCAACTTCACGAAGCTACCTCTTCTGGTCTTCATATTCTGTGATGCTTGACTTCTGGGATCGCCTGCCTGGTTCCTCTGCCCCACGTTAGTCAGGACCTTCTTTTTAAATTCTGTCATCATTATCCACTCAATTTTTATTCTACTCCGATATCTTTTTTCCCTGAGTGGGGTCTTGTTCTGAAAGGGCACCTCAGTGTGTCAGTTCTTAGAGTCTGATCTGCCGCCTCTCCAGTCCTCCCGAGCAGGGACCCTGGGCTCCCTGCTCCTCGAGAGACAGTGCCTCTCCCAGCTTCAGCCGCTGTGCTCCAGTTGGCGTGTGATGCTTCCAGGAAGTACTGCCCGGCTATTTTGTGGTTTCATAGTTTTAGGTCCCTCTGCTGTTGCTCATACAGATGGGACTATCATGCTCGTCTTGTAGTTGAAGTTGTTTTGTTCTGAAGTGCTTATAATTTGGGGTTGGTGAGGATATCTTGTCACTTAGTTTTGTTCTAAATTTTATCCATGGATTTTAATTTTTGCTATCTGTTTGTATGTGGAGATTCAGAAGTATCCCAAAATAATGGTGCTGCCTTGGACTAAATTTGATTTTTAAAAATTTTTTTGCAATTTTTATTAACTTGTTTTTATTGCAGATGTTTCTCCTTTTTCCCCACTAGAAACCCTCCTCCTGACCCCACCTCCCACCCCCTGCCCCTGCAGCATTGTTGTCTGTGTCTGTTGGTTATGCATACGGGCATATGAGTTCTCTGGTTTATCTCATTCTTCTTCCCCCACCCCCTCCTCTGAGGTTTATCACTCTGAACCATACTCCTTTCTATGTCTCTGGGTCTGTTTTGTTCATCGGCTTATTTTGTTCATTATATTCCACAATAAGTGAGATCATGTGGTATTTGTCTTTCTCTAATTGGCTTATTTTGCTTAGCATAATGCTCTCCAGGTCCCTCCATGTTGTCTCAAAGGATAAGAAATCTAAATTTGATTTTAACAGGCACTCTATTTGTTGATCTCCCCAAAAAGGCCAGAAAAACAATGGCATACATAGGCAAGTTTTCCAAGAATGTTCAAATAGTTGATATTTGTGCATGTGTTATTTAGGATTTATTGAAAATTGCAACCCGTCAAAAAAATCACTGAGTTAGTAAAGATAGCCTTATCACTTCAGACCATTTATAACTACCTATGCATTATACTATGATATCTATTATATCAACCCCTGACATATAGTATGACATTTTAAATACTGTAAGACATGCATCATGTCGGGTACTAGTGGTAACTATTATCTAACAGGAATGCTCAATTAATAAGCACATTTCTATTGCTAGTAAGTTCATTGTACTGAATCTCTGACTCATTCTTGAAATAATTAATTTCCGAATTCCCTATGAATGCGCAGGGTATATATGGAATGCTAAATGTTTCTCTTTTGTTCTTTTTGGCAGTTTGGGAAATTATGCATCGCTTCATGGACAAATATATTGTAAACCTCACTTTAAACAACTTTTCAAATCTAAAGGAAATTATGATGAAGGTTTTGGACACAAACAGCATAAAGATCGATGGAATTGCAAAAATAAAAGCAGCTCAATGGACTTTATTCCTAACGAAGAACCAAATATTTGTAAAAACAGTGCAGAAAACACCCCCATACTTGGAGATCTTAATAAACATTTAGGGGCTGATGACAGTGAAAGACAAAGGGATGACTTGAGACAATACCGGGAAAGGGGTAAATTAAAAATCATCTGGCCCCCTTCTAGGGAGATGCCTAAGAAAACCTTCCCCCTTGAGGAAGAACTCCAAATGAGTAGACCTAAATGGCCTCCCGAGATGGCCACCCCTACGTCTGCTGACTACACAGGCGAATCACTGATGGAGCACATTAAAACTCGGGAAAATAAAGGACACGAGCAAGAGAACATTTCTTTCCTGCAGCCCTATCTGCAGTCCATCCATATGTGTCAGAAAGAGGGTGTTACAGGGATCAAAGACAAGGAAATGTACGAAGCAAGAAAAGATGGGAAGGAAGGCAATAAGAATGTGCACGATGAGCCGCATGAGGCTGAAGAGACAAGGAGCAAGAGGAAAAGTGGGATGAATCTGCATGCCAACAATGATGCGGCTGTGCAGAGTGCTGAGAGGGAGAAAAATGAAAAAACTAATGAACCTGATGGTGCAGAATTTTTACAGGTTACTAACACGGATGATGAGGTGGTGCCACAAAATCACAAAGAGAATTTGAATAAGAATAATAATAACAATTATGTAGCAGTCTCGCCTCTGAGTAATTGCTGGCAGAAGACAGCTGCTTTAGAATTTTCTAATCTATTACCACTGTCAAATGGTGCAAACTGCACTGCAAGTGAACATCGAATTGCAAACTTAGAAAATGCATCTAGAATCTCAGAGTTACTTGGTATATTTGAATCTGAAAAGATGTACTCGAGGAATGTACTGGCCATGGCCCTCAGTAAACAGAAAGAGGGAGTCACGGCACAGTCTGCCCCCAAGCCAGGCCTCGGTGGTAGGTTAATAGTGAAGGCGAAAAGCTCAATAGCCTCTTCTGATACAAACATTTCCAGCGTCAAAGGAAACCATTCAAATAACAAAAGTCTACACTTCTTCTTTTCTAACACGGTGAAAATCGCTGCCTTTTCCAAGAAGCATGAGAACATTTTTGAGCATGATGTAATAGATTCTGTAGATCAAACGAAAAATACGCCTTGTTTGTACTTGAGAGAACTTGAGGAGGACATCGAACACTGGCAGCATGGCGAAACAAGGGACACAGCCCACATGAATGGAAACACAGAGGTCCATGCTCTGAGAAGCGGATGTGCAGCTGCGCCTGCGTTTCCCAAAGTGGGGGTCCCGTCTGAACAGCTCACGGTGGAAGAGCAAATCAAAAGGAACAGGTGCTACAGTGACACCGAGTAAGACACACTGGCCAGTACCCATCCACGCTCAGGCTCTGAGACATGGCACGATCCTGAAATAAGACTTTTGGGATTTTGATAACCTTTTGTTGAACTTGTAAATGTAATGTTCAAAAATCTCATATTTACCCCAATGGCATATTCATTGTATGACACTACAGAACCTTTTCCATAATTGGTTTGAACTGACTTTTATTCTCAATAGAGCAAAGAGAGGAAACAATAGGCTAAGTTTTGCTGTCAAATGGCACTTAGGCAGATCCGTCTGGTCTTTGCCGTCCAGATAACAGCATCGGTGTGATTCCAAACTGCTGATATTCATCCCAGTTCTTACACTTTCTCTATAATTTCTGCTGAAATAAAATCAAATTACCTGAGGTGCATACAAAACCAGTTCTGTTACTTTTTTCCATATACATTGTCATTCTAGGTCTATGTTTTCCATGATTTAGGAAGTATTTGTCTAGGGGCAAGTATCGAATACACATATGTGCGTGCGCACACACACACACACACACACACACATAATCCTGGGGAAAAAAATTAAATACTAAACCAAAGCCACAGTATTATTAGAAAATACAAAATTGTCTTTCTTGTTTTGGCTCTCATTTTAGAAACAAAGGGATTATTGTGGTTCTTTAAATAATTGGCCATATTAAATGATCATGGAACATGTCTATAAAAATTTAATGAATAATATCAATTTTCCTCTGAAATAATGTGGAGTCCATACTCAGAAATTAACTTAACTGAAAATGTTTTAGACATTACTTAAATAAATTGTGCACATTGCATGTTTTATTACTCACTATAGGCAACTGATAAATATACAAACCACACTCTAGATCGTCAGGCTCGATGCATTACCTTCCTTGGGTGACAGGTAGGAAGGAGTTAAAACCTCAGCTATGCTTAAGAAATCCAAATACTGTTGTATTTAGTAATGGATATTGCTTCACTCTAATTAAGACAAATCTTTCAGCAAAATAAATAGCAATCTTTGGGAATTAAAGCATAGTGAAATACACAAATCAAAAATTCAGCGAATTTTCTTATTGTTGCAGACAGCTTGCTAGGGCTTTCGTAACAAAGTCCCACAGACTGAGAGGCTTCAACAACAGAAATGTATTTTTTCACAATTCTGGAGGCTAGAACTCTGAGGTCAAGTTGGCGAGTTGTTTTTTTCTTCTGCAGCATCTCTATTTGGCTGATAGATGGCCATCTTCTCTCTACATGATCTTCCTTCTATGTGGTCTGTGTCCAGATTTCTTCCTCTTATAATGACACCAGTCATATTGGATTAGGGCCCATTTTAATGACCTTATTTTACCTTAATTACATTTTTAAATACCCTGTCTCCAAATATAATCATGTTCTGAGATATTGAGGGTTAGGACTTGAACATATTAATTTTAGGTTGACACAATTCAGCCCCTTAACAGTAGTAATCACCTTTCACCTTTAGTGGTTTTCTTTTAAACACGTGTCTGTTAATATTATAAAAAAACTTTTCAATAATTTCTCACTTTAGATTTATATCACAGAACTATGTCATATATAGACTGATGCTATAAGATTTAATATTTTCAGGAACATAACTGTCTTTCAAAGGAATCGAGATAAGCCTATGATAGACCACATGCTTTACCAGAGGAAGCTGATGATGGCAGAGCTTGGCACATAAGGGGCTTTGCATTACTTATTCAAGACTAGGCCTTCCAATGAATCTTACGAAAGTGTTCTGTTTCTCAGAGAATTATGCTGAATTGTCTTTTACAGCTTTCACACAATCAATCCTTGTGACAGATTTGGGGCTCTGGGCAGCACCTTCTCTGGATTGAGACCATGGTTTTCCCACGGTGCAATAAAACTACAGAATGCCAACCTACCACCAATGTACTAGTGTGCAACTCGATGTGCACCTGGCACGTCCCCCAAAACTTACAATTTTCTATAAACATCTCTAGAGTAGTTTCTAAAGGCACATTACTTTTTTAAAGAACTGGAAGATAGAAGAAGAATACTTTTTCTGCTGTGTTTTGATAGTTCCTAACTACTGGCTACGATCCAACTGAGTAGAAAAGTTTTCTCATTGCTAAGGAAATGAGCTTAGAGAAAGACAATCACAGATGTTCAAGTGAAAGAGAAATGCAATACATTTTTTTTCTCTCTCTGGAAATGTTATTGAGAACCAAGGGCGATTTCCAAATCTAATATAAAAGTTTGAAATCTACAGGTATTAACGGTAATGTGAAATCTTATTTTAGGAAAATTGAATTTACATGGAGATCACAAATAGGCCAGGAACATGATACTCAGATTCAAAGTAAGAGCCCTGAGAGCCTATGAGAGGTGCTGAAGAGTGCAGAGGCTCAATCCCCTGGAAATTAACTCGAACAGAGCACAAAAAATATTTTTGGATAAATATAATCTAAAAGTAATTTACTCTCAACTTTGATGGAGTCCTTCAGAAAGACTGATTGAAGCTACCTGAACAGGTCCATCTACTGTGAATATTTTCTCCTAAATTGTTAGGAGAAATTTTTAAACTTTAGGTGTTTGTATGCAAATGAAGTGGTAGAGAGAAAATAATAGTATTAGAACATCTACATTTTTTTTCCTTTATTGATATTAGAGAGGAAGTGAGAGGGAGAGAACATGGATGAGAAAGAACATCGACTAGCAGCCCCCTGCATGCCCCCCACTGGGAACTGGGCCCACAACCTGGGCATGTGCCCTGACCAGGAATCGACCCGGCAACCCCTTGGTGCATGGGTCAATGCTCAACCATTGAGCCACACCAGCTGGACTATAATATCTACATTGTTGGCATTATCTTTTAATACAATACATTTTTGTAGTAAGTAAACTGATCTATAGAAAGCCTGACAAACACTATGATGTCAACCAGTCTACAGCTATTTCATAAACATTATGGAGCCCTTGGTAGGTGTTGGCAGACTATTTTAAAGGATAAATCATGCTTTCGTATAACTTCTTTACTAGAAAGAGAGCCATTCAAAAAACAATTACAGTTGATGCTTATGAAAGCAACCGACCCAGGAAAATGTATAACCACAAGGAATTCTCTTAAATGGGAAGACCTCAGAATAACAGTAAATTAATAGGTGGAAATTTTCCAGGTTTGAAAGCTGTTTCATTTTGCCACAGTCATAATTTATATAGATGTAATTATGTGGTTGTGGACTGTGATGCACAGCCAAGATCCCCCTTCAGGAATGAAGGATTTACTTCCTCAGGTGCTGAAAGCACTGTCCATAGGAAGCCCCCAACTTCCAGCCCTCTACCAGCATTGCTTTAGCTGAAGACAGCCTCTTCCCTCCACTTGGATTTATGTAATAAGTGCTCGGGGAAAGGACAATGTGGCACCACTCAGACGTCCCTCTAGTGTCAGTCTCCCTGTAGATTTGGCTGAGGCCTCCACTGAGCCTGGCTCACAACTCATCTTCCATCCCTGGTTCTTCCTTATCCCTTCACTTCCCTAGATACTGAAAGTGCATCCTGATAAACCTCCTCCACTTCCATCTCTGTCTC